CAATACCAATTCGTTCAACAGTAGAATATTAATATATATTTAATATCAATATTACACAAAAGCTAAATACATACATTCCTAAAGATACCAATATTTTAATAAGAGAATGCACTTGAAAGGAGGAAAAGAACCAAAAGCAGTATCATGAAACAACCACAAACCACCACCACAACAAAGCTTTGGTAGAGGAGAGCTTTAAGATGAAGAGAAAGATACTTTAAAAAGAAAGGGAGAGGAGGAGGATGGGGAGGAGGAAGAGGAGGGGGGAAATCATAGTAGAGAGGACTTGGAAACAATAAAGAGAGGAAGAGGAGGAGGATAAAAGATGATAAGAGGTGTAGTAACGCAAATGAGAAATTCAAAGAACGTATGAATAGAGCAACATAATGGGATATACAATGATATATTTTTAAATAATTGTCATTGTATGATGATGTTATAAAAAGATCATTGTTTAGAAGTTGTCTCTCACATGATAATTCCTTTCACAACCATCGTCATATTTAATGACAACTGTTGTTGAAATGTTCAAATTAATTTCAAAATTGTCATCATATATTCTTCAATGACAATTTACTTATGACCACCATTAAAAGACTTTGTCTTTTTCCTCTTTTGCATTAGTAATACAAAGATAATTTTCAAATGTGAAGAATTTTAATCTTGATCCTCAAAGAACAATATGCTTTTGCTAATGTATTTAAGATGAAGTGTTTTGACATAATGTAGTACGCTTAAGGATTATTTTAAAAGAATGAATCGAAACTTTTCAAACTTGATTGCAATCAAATGATTTGAGAGAACACAAAAATATAGTTGACAAATTTAACAAATTAAAAATAGTTTTAATCTATTAAAATTGACTATCGCTCCTTGTTGTAGAATTTTAATTTGTTAAAATAATATTTTTAATATGTTAAAATCACTAAAGTGGGTATTTAAAGTGATTTTCATTAATTAAAATATCTTTTTAATCTTTTAAAACAACAAGTACATAAAATAGATGCAAACTTAAAAAAATTTATCATACTACAATGTATATTAAATTGATTAAAGTGTTTTTCATTGCTAACCTAACAATCTTAAAAATATTTTAACATATTAAAAGAGATTGTAATCCATTCAAATAACACATACCTTTTCAACCTCCACTTTACATGAATTTTCTACATAACTATGCAAGATCAAAGATAAAAAAAAAAAAAAACACTTAGAACACTTTTAGTACAAAAATTATAACTCAAACCCAAGATTAAACATGCAATTAACATCAACATCACTTGCATCAACATTAACATAGTGGTTTGTAGAATCAAATCTTCAAGCACACACTTGAAGCTTCTATATCAACAAACTTTCCCAAATAGATGATGACAACCACTCCAAATAGAGTTCAACCAATTTAATATATTTGTGAAAGTTGTACTTCTTGAAATCAAAATACAAACACACTACCTTTCAACCCCTTTATTAGTATCAAATGTAATAAAAACATAAGATAAGAGAAGGTAAAGATAACAAATATTTGTTATAAATTTTCATTAATTAAAATTGAGTAGATACATTAACAAAACCAACCATTGAACATACTAAAAAAAACCTTAAACAACCACTTAGGCATAACATAACAATATTTGTGATGATATAAGGTCACTCATTATATTAATCATGAGCTCACAATCACTTCATATAATCAATCCATATTTTGGTTGGATTTCCTCATGATTTAAGAAGACTCCCCTTGAATATCAATCTTGAAGTTCCTAAGAACTTAAAAGAAAAAAATATAATAGAGAAGTCAATATCCAATCAAATTTTTAGATTTAAGTATAGTGTCATGTATCTAATTGATATAAATTATTTATATCAACATCAAATATCATTAATTTAGAAGAGCAATGCTGCTCCAAAAAGTGTGAATTGTCAAGCAAAAATGAATTTTTTTTGTATTCCATCTTTAAACGCCTATTTAATTTTTACCCATCATAACTTTTTTACGCTTGAATTTTGTTAAATTCAATAACAAGAATGATGTTCCTTTTGTACACCTTAATCCCATAATTTCATAGTTAAGTCATAAGAAAAATACAAAAGTGTGATATTGTAGAAAAAATATCACACTCAAGCACAAAGCAACAATCACACACAAAAGCAATGTGTTGTGAATAATGAATATATTGTGCTAAATTTGTACACAATAAGATTAAATCAAATTTAATAAAATTGATGTGATTGAATCATATTTAAATGATGATGGAACCAATAAAAGTACAACTTTTCTATTTAAATATATTAAAAAAGTAATAGATTATAAGAGTTTATTTTCGGGCAATATCAACTTTAGTAGTTTTAATCTATTAAAACTAGGGTTATACGATTAAATGCATAAGAGAAATCATGGAAAACTAAAGTATGATAGTTTAAATTGATTAGAAACATAAATTAATTTGAAACCTTTTTTTTTTTTTGCATTTTAACATATTCAAATCACTAAAAACGCCATTATATGATAGTTTTAGTGAAATAAATGATTTTTGATGGATTGATTTTCACTATCGTAAATGAAATCAAGATACTAAGTTTGCTTAAAATGTGTTGTAATATAGAGTACAAACTCAGGGCATTCTTCTTAAAGACATATTAAAATGTATTCAATTCTTAATATTCTTCCGTAAAAGTTAAATTTGGGGGTTTGAAAATGTAAAGCAAGAATTGTAAAGCAAAATTGAAAACAAAAAGGTAAAAACCGGAATCAAAAGAAGAAAATAGGTCAATCCATGAATTCTCAATCAAACAATCATCTTATCATAGTTCTATAAAGATTTCAATAATCAATCCATGAATTCTCAAAATTGAACAATTAACCGATTCAATTAATCAATTAAACTAATTATATGTATTAAATCTCAATATCATTTTATCTAATTATCAAATTAATATTCAATTGATTCCTAATTTGAATTCTAAAAGCAGCATTACAAATTGAAATCTTAAGATTCAAAACTGAGATTAGAGAAGAGAAGAACAAATTCGGTGTGAGAAACTATCGACACAAAACTCAATTCGGCTTGTTTGATCTTGATTCTGTGATTTAATCCTCAAAATTTAGTTCTTCATAGAAAATTAACTAAGAACCAATTCAGACTAGAAAAGGAGAAGAATAGGAAGAGTAAAAAATGAAAATAGAGAAGAAGAGAGAAAAGAGAAGATATAGAGAGACTTCCTAAGCTGAATAACTAAACAAATAATTTCTTGATATGATTTCATGACACTTTTAATGCATATAAAGATGCTCAAGTCTGAAGTAAACTTGGGCCTAAATTTGGGTTCTAATTAGGTTCATAAGCCCAATTACAAAAGATAAGTTAATATAAGCGAAAGTCAAATTTGTATGGGTTCCAATACAAAATTTTAGCTAATCTACCTCAACTTCTAAAAATTATAGAGCACAAAACTTCAAATCTAGCAAATAATATATTCATTTCTTAGCCTTGGAAATGCAAAATCCAATGCAACTTGAATCAGCCTAAAATAATTTATGTAGAAAAAGTTATGGTCAAAATAGTAAACAAATGTCATATTAGCTAAAAATGCAAAATTAGAACAAATATGTACATTGAACCAAATTTAATACTACTAACTAAAATTGAATTTAGAACTGAAAATAAAGCATATAGAAAGTGTATTCACTGTATAATAAAGTTATAAATATGTGTACAAAATACGTGTTATCATGGATTAAAAGAAAAATCAAATGAAATGCACAAAAAAAAAAAATCATGACTTCTTACAATATTCAAAATCTTTAAACTCTAAATTAATATCAATACATCAATTAAAACTCAAATTAATACACAAACATGTTAAAATACACAATTATCAAAGATTAGAACAACAAAACAATGAACTAAACTCTCATTCAAAATTAAATTACTTACAAAATAAAATAAACACTTAATAAAAAAATATATCTAACTTTTTTTAATATTAACAAATCAATATAATTATATTTTGACAAATAAATGATGTTTACCCTTAGTTTTGAACATATGTCTTAAATTACCTTAGTGAAACACTCTTTGTCTTTGAAGCATATCTACAAAACAAATTTTAAAAAGTAAAATTTGGTACTATTTTTAGAAATATTTTTAAATTTAAAATAATTTTTTTTATTTAACTATTTTTAGAAATATTTCATATTATACGATCAGACTACATCTAAAATTTGTACTAATTTAAAAAAATTACTGAACCAATACAAATATATTTGTTATGTTGAGTCAGTGAACCTACTATTTAAAAGTATAATTTTATATGAGATTATTGATAACTTAAAAAACACTAATTTATGAGAGATTATTAATAACTTAAAAGATTATTTATACAATCTTCTTATTTGCAATAATAATTTACCACGGGACTGTTTTATTTATTTATTATTTACCTAATAATAAAAAAATAGAGAAAACAGTGGAAAAGAACTTTGCAAGAGGTTGAAGCATTATTGTATGCAATTAATTCGAGTATTAGTAAATGATGACTTCAATCTAGGATGGAAGATGGAGATAGAATAAAGAATAAAGGTAGAAAGAAAGTGATACATGTGATAAATAAGAACATGAGAGAAAGGAAAAGAAAAGTTTGAGAAAAAATGAGGCAAAAATGAAAAGGAAAATTTACAACTCATTCTTCCCAACATCTTAATTCTTAACTTAAAAATATTATTTTTGTAGTTAATTGATGGAGAAAGAAAAAAATAAAATAGATAAACAATAATATAAAAATATAAAAATAGATTATTGAATGGATTTTTTTATCTTGTGATGTAAAAATATGATATGAAAACGGAAAAAAACATTATTGTTGAAAACAGTTATGTATGTAAGATGGGATAATTGACGAGCTTGAACGCGTGGTTGAATGGAGAAGGGTTTAAGAACATTGGTTGGTTGGTTTCCAACAATGAAATTGATATTAAAGCAACGTCACAGCCGAAGTCAATGAAGGAAACAGCAAGAATGGGCCCAACCCAAGAATCTAGAACTTACAGACATCGTTACGAATGCAGGAATGCACTACAACAAGGTAGAGGAGAAGAAGCAAGCATGGCCAAAGATAAGAAAAAGCAAAAGGGAATCCCAAAGTAATATACTGAATAATTTCTTTAGGAATCGTCCGTTTATGCAAGTTGTAGCAATTCTTACCTCTGCTTTCTGAAAGAAAAATTAATACATCAATCTAAAATACCAAATTACACTGAGTAAATAATTTTCCTAAATTTACAACAAACTAAAATACCAAATTATATAGCAAAAAAAATTTCTTAAACTTACACGAGAGGAACAATAACGAGAATGACAAAAATCATCGTAATAAAAAATACTAATATTTTTAGTATGGAAAAAACTGTTTAATATTAGAAGTAAAAATTTACAGATACAAGTCAATTAATTAAAACAAGTTCTATTAAGATTAAAATATGAGTATAAGAGAATCAAATTAAAATGCACAAATAAGTGTTTAATACCTAATATATTAAAAGAATAGTACTTTCAAATATAAAGAACAAATAAAAAAAACATTTATTCTTACACCAGGAACCTGTTTTCAAAATTATAGCTTGATCCAACTGTGAACTAAACATTAATCATAATTTTACCAAGATGGTTTGATAAATAAGTGAAACTTTTTTTTTATGGAAAGAATGTGAAATGCTATCTCTCTCCCTCTCTTCACGAGATAAAATTAAGTTAACTAATTTAAACTTTGTGAGATAAAATCAACTTGACTAATTTAAACTTCTGAGAAACGGAGCCCAAACCAACATTTTCTCTATAAATATCACCCCACTCTCAACCTTTGACCTCAAATCCAACTCTTTTCTATACATCCCTATAATGGATTGCAGAATTGAGAGCACAGAAACTCACAGGTTTTGTTTCTCAGATCCATGCACAACCACACACTGTCACACACTGCATATATTAAAGGGTGCATGTGCATCTTAAGTCTCTTACTCATAGTTAACACTGTCATGGATTTATATGTGACATATGTATAGCTTTTGGTTACTATAGGAATAAGTGTGCAGCATGCTTCAGACAGTTCAACAAACTGGAGCACCTGGTGGAGCATATGAGGATCTCATACCATTCGGTTCATGAGCCAACCTGTAGCATTTGCAGGAAACACTGCAGGTCATTTGAGTCTCTAAGGGAACATCTTATAGGTAATAATAATATTTCATAATAATTGTGGAGAAAATTTAAATACATGGAGTTTTCATATTCATGAATAAATGATTTTCATCTGATCATTGTGAATTTGTGATGAGACTTAATCTTCTTTTCTAGGTCCGTTGCCAAAGCAGGAATGCAGAGATATATTTGCCTACAAAGGGTGCAAGTTTTGCTTGAAAGTCTTTGACAGCCCTAATTCCCGCAGGATCCACCAAGAAAAATGCCAGCACTCTGGAACAAATGCTGTACAACTTTTGACTTTGAATTAACTATAGATTTTTCAAATGAGTTACCCTCAGAAAACATCAGTCTAATTAGTATTTTTCTTGTTACATAACAAAAATATATGCAGTTCATATATAAAAACATGAAATATATACATTTTTATTATAATTAATATTAAAAAATTGAAAAGATTTTAGAGTTATTCGTTGGGAATTCTCAACTTTTGGTGCACATTATTACAGGGAATAATTGGTCGCTTTTCAAACTTGGGTCTTCGTGATAATTTGACTATTGGTGGTGGAGCAAGAGGACCACAAGTAGTTGCATTAGCATGTAAAATGGTTGGAGGTGGCAGTGATGGCTCACTGGATCTTTGTGCAAGAGTGTGCTTAATCGATGAGCATGAGAACATAATATTCCATTCTTATGTGAAGCCACCAATTCCTGTCACAAACTACAGGTTGGACAATTAACTGTGTGCAGATTTTCAAGAGTTTAACCATTATATAGCTGGTGTGTTGAATGGAGCTACTGATTCATTAACAGGTATGAGACAACAGGCATTAGACCAGAATACCTGAGGGATGCAATGCCAATGAGACAAGTTCAAAGGAAGATTCAAGACTTTCTTTGCAATGGTGAACCAATGTGGACAATTCGAACGAGGGGAGGAAGAGCAAGGATTCTTGTGGGTCATGGTTTGGATCATGACCTTGAATGCTTACAAATAGAATATCGATCAGAAAAAATAAGGTAAATCATCCAATTTAACATTATTTTACTTTCACTAGTGCATAACTTATTTTTATTTAGTTTTTAACTCCTCTCTGAAACAAATATATGGTATAGAACAAGCACATATAGGTTAACTTTAACACTTTCATATTCGTATATTGACTTTGAGTTCTTATTGAATAATCAGGGACACTGCAAAATACCCTCCACTGATGAAAACGAGCAAGCTCAGCAACTCACTCAAGTACTTAACACAAACATATCTCGGGCAAGTATCTTTCACAATTTTCTTTACTGTAAAACACAAGATGAAATTTGATGGATGCCACGTGAAGCATAAATGTTTTAAGATTAAGAAGGCTTTTGTTTTGTGGCACATATACATGCAGGTATGACATTCAAGTTGGAATTCAGGATCCTTATGATGACTGTGTTGCAACCCTGAGGCTCTACATGAGAATGAAATCCCAAGTACATAGAACACAGGATTACCCTTTGGCTTCTGACCCCCAGAACAGGAACAATTTTGCTTCATGGAGGCAAAGTGAGCTTGAAAGAATGACTCCTGAACAAATGCTGGAAACATCAAGGTCTGACTACTACTGCTGGTGCTTGGATTCCTAGTATAATCTCTAAATATGAGGAAAGCCAAGTATACTACTCAGATGCTCATGATCTGAACCTCAAGGACTTGATGAATACACTACTGATTTAACCGATATACATCAATATATCTACTAAAAGTAAAAATAAAGTGCACCAAAGAGTTGTATCATTTTCTATACTAGTTAATAATTTCTTAATATTACTCCATTTATGCAGAAGCTAGGTTTAGATTTCTGTCACAGCTAGCTCCTGGTGTCATTCATGTTATGTATATTTTATGAATTCAATATACAATATCTAACTATACACTCTCCAGCTATATATATATATATATATATATATATATATATATATATATATAATCAGGTAATCCAATTTCTCAATATATTGGCAAATAAGTAATTTCAAGCATGAATCTCTCATTGTCAAAAATGGATGATTCGTTTGATGTAATCTTCCTGGTGAAATTAAAAATAGCAATAGTAAGTTTAATTTATATTTTAATGGTGTTGTGGTATCTATATCAAAACAATTCATTATAAAATATTTAAATAAAAATAAAAATATATTTTTAAAATTTAAATTATTTTATTGAAATTAATTTTTATTTAAAATATAATAATTTAGTACATAAATTTTAAGAGGAAAGAATAATTTAATTTTAAAATAAGAATTAAAAATTTATTTTTTATTATCATTTTTTTAGTAATTTAATTATTTAAAATAATAATTCATATTAATCATTAGATTTTAAAATAAATCAATATTAAAAATTTATTTTTATATTTATTCTTAAAATAAATAATATTTTATCAAATTAATTTATAATATATTTTTTTAATAAAATAATATTATTTTTATTTTTATTTAAAAATAATAATTATTTTATAAATAGACAGAACTTATGGGTTAACTAGTATAAATTTTGAATATGTTATTCTCATATTTTCACTTATTTTATTTATATTTTTATTAAACTAATATATATCTATAAAAGAGATGATCGATTGAACATTGATTAAAAAGAACTTAAAAATTTTGAGTGAAAATTAAAAAAATTTAGCACTAATGTTGAGATTTTGAATAAAATTCATTAAAAAAATAATAAAAAAAAAGTTACTAAACAAAATTTAAGAGAAAAAATTAATAACATAAAAAAATAATAAATTAAAAAATAATATTTTTATTTTTATAATTTAATAAATATTTTGTATTAATTTAACTAATTAAAAATAAAAAAATGACAAAGATATAATTAAATCATTGAGTTAAATTAAATTTATAAAGAATAAACAATATTAAATAAAAATTAATTTATAACTTTTTTTCTTAAACGTTCAATAGAATTAGTATACTTTTTTAAAAATAGAGTAATTATAAACAGTATTATTTATAATTAAAAATAATATTTTATCTTATCATAATTTTTTATTTTAATTAAATATTCATGGATAAATTAATTATTAAATTTATAAATTTTACATAAAATAAAATGAATATATATACATATATTATAATTATGTATAATATTTATTTAATAAAAATATAAATTTAGTAAAAAATAATAAGGTTATTAGTATTTATATAAAATCTAAAGTTTATGTTAATTATTTAAATTATTAATAATAACTTATCAATTTTCTTTTCTATCTGTACACATAGATGAATAAATAGTATCATGTATCTAAATCATAAGAAAAAATTTAGTGTACCCACGCGTGATAGGTTGTCAATTTGAGATTCAATATGCAAGGTAATCTCTAGTTTATCATGGTTTGAGTTAGGTTGGGTTAAAAAGTTTAAATTTTTTTATTAATAGGTTAAAGCGAATCTGACTCTTTACTTAATTCTAGAGTTAAATGGTTTCGAGATAGTATAGGTGGTGGGTCAATTTTTTTAATCTTAAATATTGTAATTTTTTAATATTGTAATTTTCTCTTATGGGTGTTAGTGTAAATTCATATAGAAAAAAATTATTTCAGGAAATCAACCTACCTAATTCAATAATATTAGTAATTTATAAAAAAGATTTAAAAAAACTCATAATTAAATAGATAAGTGACCTAAACCATTGACTTTTGGTAGGTCAATGTTGTAAAAATTTTTAAAACCGGATTGAATTAACCAATTTTTAATATAACCGTGATGAACATGAGAGTCACTTTTAACACCACTACACAAAGCTATAGAAAGTAGAAATCCCACGTAGTAACCCGCGCAACTCTAACCAAAATAGAAATCATGACTCTACGCAATGATGACCCACACAACTCTAGAAAATAGAAATCACAGGCTCCTACGTAGTGACCCACATAACTCTTTCTAAATTGAAGATGGAAAAACAGAAATTCAAATTGAAAATAAAGCTGCAACTATATATTTGAATAAGAGGATAAAAGCCCCAGATTGCTTCTCTAATATCCAATGTAATACAAGATATATAGTAATATTTTTTAAATATTGAGGGAGATATGACAGTTGGTACAACAACTGATATAGTATGATATTTTATAATTAGAAATTCAAAGATTGTATTTTTTTTAAATGAATTTTGAATTATTAAATCCAAAATGTATTTTCAAAAAATACAGTACAAAATCTATTTTCAGAAATTATAATTCGTAAATGAGTTTGATAAACACATTTTATCAATAATTATTAATATATTTTATCAATTTAGTATATTTATTTAATAAATTATTAATTTTTGACATAATTTTTATAAAAAAGAAATAAATATCTCTATATCAAAATTATTATTTAAATTGTACATTTTAACTAGTTATTTATTTATTTTTGTAAGAATGATAAATTAAAAATATCATATTTTATCATGAAATTTCGCTCAATGCACGAGATAATTCACTCAATGAAATTCAGTCAGAGGTTCATTCAAAAATTTAACCATCTGTCGAGAAAATGGGTCAAATCTTGTGTAACTAATTTAATAGCAATTTTGTTAAGTGAGTGAAGGAACTGCCAACTAAATTCATCATAAAACCTCAATTCTACAAAAAATTAATTGAGTTTTATTTTTGTAAATATGGGTCTTGGATTTGCTTGCTTTATATATCATTGTTGTTGTATAAATAGACTTTGAAAGGTCAAAAGGCATAAGTTTCATTTGTTTGATTTAAAGTTTTAGATCCTAAATTCTTTCTAGATTTTCTCTTTTTGTGATGTCTAGTTTCTAAGTCTTTTTCTATTAAGTTATTTGTACAAACAATGCTCTGAAATTTATCAATTCAATTTGCCTTAGATCATATTTGATCAGTTTCTCTTTACTTCTTCTCTTTAATTTCCATTTTCTATCTTCTTCTTCTACTTTTACACCATTTCCTTTACTATTTCCTTACTTTGACTGGTTTTTCACATTTCAATCATGTTCTAATCCATTTTTGTTGTTGATTAACTGATTAAAACTTGTTTTCTATGATTTAAATTTGGTTCTTAATTATTCTAACCAATTATATAATCTATTACAATCAATGTAATTAAGGTTATTTGATTGAATATCTCAATATGTATGGTGTTCACTATCCTAGTGGTCAGGGCTCAATCAAATACTTAAGTGTTTCCTCTTCCAACTAAACGTAGTATAGGGGTCAAATCGAGTCAGTCTAAGAAAGATTTATAGGTTAATTACAATAAATTATATTGTTACCTATCATGAACATGGGTGTGCTATGGAAACAAGGTTAAAAGGGTGTGCAAGCATGAGGCCGAGAGGGACTAGTAAAATCTTATGCAGCCACAAAAGGGCTAGTTAAAGAGAATATGAATGACTTAAAAGAAAAACTTAGTAATCAATACTTGTATGCTTAAACCCGAAAATAGATGGAAATACAAATTCTTTACTAGTTGAAGATGAAACAAACTTGGTGCACAAAAAAGTAAACATATAACTACATGTGACATCAAGGCTCCACAAATCGAAGAGTGGACACCAAGCAAGGTAGAATCGAGACTTGAAATAACACTCTAGTTTCTGAAGTTGTTGTGTATATAAAGAAAATGCAACAAAAATGTTACGTAGTAAATAAATGTCACAAAACTTGAAGTAATCAACTCAAAGTTAAAGTAAAAGCAAGAACGTCAAAGCAATTGAAAGTTATATAAGTAAAGAAACATCTAAAACTTAGTTTGAGTATTAATTAGCCCAATATAACATTAACCAATCCTAATTTAGCTAAAAAAATGGTTTGAGTAGCATATAGAAATTGCCTAATGGGAATTAGAGGGAAGATGATTGAGATAGGGCAATGGAACAATAACAGAAATTTGTGTGTCCATATGTTAATAGGTTAGGGACAAAATGTAAAGGAAATGACTGCATTATCATCCTTACTCTTTATAGAAAATATCCTTACATATTCAAGTTCTACTATATTCTCTTAAAATCCTACATTCTTCACACCCTACTATCTAAATTGGAGCTCCTTAAAATGATTTTTTTTTCTCTGCTAGAGAACAAGAGGCGACATTCCAAAACGATTTTCTAAAAAAGTTTTGGCAAAAGCTACCAGCTCTACCAAGTGGTGTGATGTCTTCTCCTCCAAATCGCATTTTGTCGAGCTGAAGTGGTAATGATACACAACTACTCTAATTTTCCTTTTCACGAGACAAACTTTGATTTATCCCAATTGGAAAGAGGTTTGGCCAAGTGCATTAAGGTTTCATGTGAGAAAGTCAAGTCCACTGGTTACTTCTAGCCCAAAAAATTGCCTCCAATTTCTAACCTCCTCAAGCTCCGAATCAGTGCTTCAAAAATCATGATCTTGTAATCAAATTAAATCTCTTTGATTCTAGAATTCAATTAACAAATTTTAGCTCAATTGGACATTTGTAGACAAAGTAATATGCAAAATAATCAGCAAGGGTCAGAGCACGAAAATCATGATTTATGGTCATCAAGTTATCAATGATAAATAAGAAAAATGAGGACCCTATAGGAGTGCATTGTTTGAACATAAAAATTGAGTTATCAATACATCATAATCAAATTTCTAGGATTAATT